AAGCGCTTCGTGGCACTTTTATCGCGACAAGGCTCAGACGCCGACTCTCCAGCCTCTCAGCTCACCACCTCGCCTTCTCTGTCGCTCTCCTGGCCCAGGCCCATCAGTATCAGGTCTGAGCTGTCCCAAACCGCACTTACCTCGGGTCTTCAAGCTCACACCGGCTCGTGATGCCACGGAGAGGGCTCCGAGATTGTCCCCGGTGGACCCCATCCGAGCCGATTGCGAGGGCATTACGGAGGTCATTGTCGGCGCCATCGACTGTGAAATGTCCCGACCCACAGCCCTCATGCACTAGGCTCATGGATGCAGTCATAACATGTAGGCCTTGTCTCCCGAAGTTTGGAGCAATAGCCGCAAATAGTACTTTTTGGCACTTCATCGCGACACGTCCAGGTGCCGACAAAGCGGCTTCCCAGCTCACCACCTCGCCTTCTCTGTCGCTCTCCTGGCCCAGGCCCATCAGTATCAGGTCTGAGCTGTCCTAAACCGCACTTACCTCGGGTCTTCAAGCTCACACCGGCTCGTGATGCCACGGAGAGGGCTCCGAGATTGTCCCCGGTGGACCCCATCCGAGCCGATTGCGAGGGCATTACGGAGGTCATTATCGGCGCCATCGACTGTGAAATGTCCCGACCCACAGCCCTCATGCACTAGGCTCATGGATGCAGTCATAATATGTAGGCCTTGTCTCCCGAAGTTTGGAGCAATAGCCGCAAATAGTACTTTTTGGCACTTCATCGCGACACGTCCAGGTGCCGACAAAGCGGCTTCCCAGCTCACCACCTCGCCTTCTCTGTCGCTCTCCTGGCCCAGGCCCATCAGCAGCAAGTCTGAGCCGTCCCAAACCGCACTTATCTTGGGTGATGAAGCTCACTCTGGCTCATACCACGGCTCTGCAGCCTCACACACGCCCGTTTCAGCCACAGACACCGCCGGCACGCACTCCCACTTCACACACGCTCAAGCACAACCCCATCAAAGCACATCCCTGCTCAGAATGGGCAAGGGCTACCACCTGGTGACCCTGGTAGCCTCTGGCTCGCCACTGCACTCGGCTCCTCTGCAGCGGTCTCGGCTCTCGCCACGACAGCACGCCGACGGCAAGCTTTGACGCCCGTCTGGTGGACCTGCTGTGGCCACAGCCGCCCCTGACATGCATCTCGCACCATGACTCGACACCGGGCCCGCTCAGCTTGGTCGTGGCGGCGTGTGTGAAGGATGCGCGGCCGAGCCGCTGGCTGGCGCCGCTTGAGCGTCCGAGATGGCCGCAGCAGAGGCCACGCGTCGCGCCGCCGGCCAATCCCAGCCTCTCGGCGGTCGAGTTGGTCGAGCTGGCGGGCGGAGAGCCGCCAAGAGGGCAGCAGCGGAGCGTGAGAGGCCGTGCGAGCTTGCGCTAGCGAAGCGCTAGCGCTTCGGGCGATTTCAATAGGCGGCCTACCTTGGCCTTTAAAACTACCTTCAACAGAATTCGGCGAATTATTGGATATTACGTACCAGTCGATATTGGCGCCGATTACCATATATTTGTCTTGTACCAACCTGACCGCCCAATCTGCCAAAACCTCTTGCTTGGGAGCTCGCGCGCAAGCGAGCGCGCACCCTCTGCCACCCTCCGCAGGGCTACAGCGGCATATGCTCCCGGCGCTGAGCTTCATCCTCGCGGCCGGCGAATGCGCCCGGTATTGCGCGACCAATGACAAGCCGTGGGACCAGAAGTGCACGTGGAACGGATGCCGTAGCTGCCCGTCTGACTGTCCTGAAATGCCACCGGCGTTGTGCCGAAGCTACTGCGCCAGCAACACAAACATCTGGGCCAAAAAGTGCACCTGGAATGGCTGCGGCGGTTGCACTAATTTCAGATTCGTGAAGGGGACGGCCGACTGCGCCTCGGTCCTAAACGCAGTACCAGAAGACGCATGCAAGCCTTCTTGCAAGCGCAACACGAACGAATGGGCGCAAAAGTGTAAGTGGGCCGGGTGCAGGGAATGCTCGCCGAGCTGCTCAGCACCACCATCTTTGCCGCCGCCCGCGCCGCCTGCAGCTCCCCCTCAGCTGCCCTGCCTCAACTATTGCATTCAAAATACGCGTCCGTGGGAAGAGAAATGTCGCTTTCGAACTTGCGCCGGTTGCCACGCATGCTCCATGGCCCCGCCGCCGCTGCTGCCTTTGCCATCACCAGCGCCAGCGGTGGCACCGTTGGTCAAATACTGGGTGTCGGGCGGCGAGTTTGGAGACCCCTACTACACCTTCAACCCACCGCTGCAACCATTCGAGCCTGGCAGGTCCTATGCCTTCAAGGGTGGCGAGCGCACAGTGGAGGGCGGGCGCCACCCTTTCGCCATCGGGGCAGCGCTCTTTGTCGACCTGCCTCCCGAATTCGATCAGGTGGGGACGTCCATCTTGACGCTCGGAGAGTGGACGACGATTACGATTCCCGAGGAATACACAGGGCCAATCATCTACTACTGCACGGCCCACACGTTCATGATGAAGCCGTTTCTCCTCCTCCTGCCACCCGCACCCCCACAAATGCCGTTGTCGCCGGCGACACCGCCGTCGCCTCCGATTCGGATTGATGCGAAATACTGGGTGTCGGGCGGCGAGTTTGGAGACCCCTACTACACCTTCAACCCACCGCTGCAACCATTCGAGCCTGGCAAGACCTATGCCTTCAAGGGTGGCGAGCGCACGTCGAGGGATGGGCGCCACCCTTTCGCTCTCGGATCGGAGCCCTTTGTCGACCTGCCGCCCGAGTTTAATCTGGTTGGAACGTCCGTCTTAACGCTCGGAGAGTGGACACAGATCACGATCCCGGAAGACTACACGGGGCAAATCTTCTATTACTGCACCGCGCACTCGTCCATGGCAAAGGCGTTTGAAATCTCCCCTTCTTGAGGAGGGACCGGCATCGCCATTGGTCCGGCACCAGTTACCTGACGCTGATTAGTAGGCCGAAACACTCCAGTCTCGTAGTCTTCGTACTCTATGAGAGATACCGAGACGTTAGAGCCGTACCATGCAGTTGCAGAGTTTACTGACGTAGAGTAGAGAGTACGACGAGGCTTACGACGCGGCTCTTTCTCCGTACACTCTACGGGGTGTGGACCCTGAGTTGACCAGGGGTTGTGCGCTGGGCCCTCCTGCTCGGCTCCAGGCAGTAGACAAGTCTTGTCATCAACAGAGTAGAAGGATCTGACCTCGGGGCCGATGTGACCAAGCGCTGGTAGCGTGGTTTAACCTCAAACCCATGGTCTCACAGTGTGCCGGCAGTCGCCGAGCAGTGTCGGTCACACAAGCCGCAGCACAAGTGACTGAGGGCCAGTGAGGGCGAGCCCATCGCTGTCACAGCTGTGGCAGCCGCACAATAGGCTGTGTCAACTGTGCAGAGTGTGTGAGCAGCAGAGGAGCTGCTCTCCAGGCTTCAGGCGCAAAGAGCTGCATGCCACCGAAAGAGCGCTGTCGAGGTTCGCCGAGCGCGGCGCAAGTTGGGGGAAGCCGCCACCGACGAGCGCGTTGGACTTTTCACTCCGGACAAAGACGGGGACACAGCGGACGGTGCGGGGTGTGTCCCCGTCATAGCGGCGAGGCGCGGGACCGTCTGTGGCGAAGTGGGTCGCGTCCCTCGATTTCCTCAACTCACGGAGGCTGCGCTGCGCAAGCACGGGCGGGAGGGGCTTCTCCTGCGGAGTCGTGCGTGCGCAGGGCTCCTCTTTGCTTTCTTCTACTCCCTACTATCATCTCGTTCCCGTCCTACCAGAGAACACGGTCCGCTCCCTCTAGGGATAGAGACTAGACTCGGCTGAGTACTCGGACGTGGGGGACCAGTCCCCTCGGACCACGCACGGACGGCGCACACATCCGTCTCACACTTAGCTCCTTCCTGCGTCCTGACAATGCACAATGCAGGCGCAAAAATCGTTTTTCTAGGCTCTAGCCAAAAGCTTACCTCACGTATCATGGCCAATTACAAAGAGACATGGTTCCGCGCGGACCGCCATTTCACAGTGTCAGTCCAACCCCTCTCCGCTGGCTCGCACGCCGCTCCATGTCTCCCAGCACTCTGTCGGGGCAGCCGGTGCACACTCTCGCCCTCCTGCCCTCACTCACATGCAGCCTCCAAAGAAACGCCCGAGCAGACTCAGGGCGCCCGGCGCCTGGCGGTATCAGACTCCGCCCGCAGAGCCCTTCGACTCGAGGTAGGCGGCCATCTCCGCGAGGGTCTCGGCGAGGACAAAGCCCCGCACCTTTGCCGCCGCACCCGCAGCATGCGCCTCCGTCACCAACCCGAAGGCCGGCTTCCACTCGTCGCTACTGGTGGGTGCCGCGTCCGCCGCCGCCGCTGGCTCGGCGGGCTCGGCGGGCGCTACGTCTGACGCCGCCACCACCGGCGCCTTGCTCCAAGACGGAGCGTCCAGAGTCGCGAGCCATCGCGCCTTGGCCGCCTCTGCCTCTCCCTCCGCCGCCGCCGCCGCCGCCGCCTGCTCCGCCTGCACTGCCGCCGGCTCGGAGGGTGCTGTCGCCGCCGCCGCCTGCGTGCCCCACGACGGCGCGTCGAGAGACGCGAGCCACTTCGCCTTCGCCTCCGCCTCCGCCTCCGCCGGCCGCGGCTTGCCCCACGATGGGGTGTCCAGACTCGCCAGCCAGCGAGCCTTGGCCTCCGCCTCCTCGGCCGCCGCTGCTGCTGCCGGTGCCGCCGGTTCTGCAGCCGGCCCTGCGGGAGCTGCCGGCTCCGCCGCCGCCTTGCCCCATGATGGAGCGTCGAGGCTCGCCAGCCACTTCGCCTTCGCCTCCGCCTCCGCCTCCGCCGGTGCCGCCGCCGCCGCCGGACCTTCGCCCAGCCACGACGGCGTCGCCTCGAGCCTCGCTAGCCACGCCTCCTAGCCTCGCGAAACGCGTGGAGTGAGACGCGTGGGCGGTGGACGGTGTGAGAGAGCGAGGGGAGAGAGGCAGCCTTGGCCGCCTCTGCCTCCGCCGCCGCCGCCGCCGCCTGCTCCGCCTGCACTGCCGCCGGCTCGGAGGGTGCTGTCGCCGCCGCCGCCTGCGTGCCCCACGACGGCGCGTCGAGAGACGCGAGCCACTTCGCCTTCGCCTCCGCCTCCGCCGCCGCCGGCCGCGGCTTGCCCCACGATGGGGCGTCCAGACTCGCCAGCCAGGCGCGTTTCGACGCCTCCTCGCGTGTCAGCGTCGCGCACGCCACGTCGTCGCCAGAGCCGCACGCCTCTGCGAGGGCGGAAAACTCGGCCGCCGCCTGCCGGAGCGCCCCCGCCGCCTGGCTCGCCAAGAACCTACCGACGTGGTCCGGCGCGGGAAAGGTCTCTGCCGACTCCTTGGCCGAGGGGCAGGCCGTGCCGGCATGGCTCTCTGACGGCCTCGGCAAGGTCTCAACGTGGAGCCAGGCGGCGGGGGCGCTCCGGCAGGCGGCGGCCGAGTTTTCCGCCCTCGCAGAGGCGGAGATGCGGGGACGAGGAGCGCGGGCGCGAGGGCGCCGAGGAGGCAGATCATCAAGAGCCGGCAAACCTGGAAACCTGGGGGACCACCGCGCTGATGGCCAACGATCTCAAACAAAAGAAATTGCCCGAAGTCGCTCCTTGGGTTTCCAGGCGGGCCACACCGAACGTACCGAGCGAAGAGCCGAGCGGAAGGAGGACGGGGAAGATGACTCAGAGGAGGACGAACCAGTGGAAATTCAGTTGTCAGATGTCACGATGCATCCGAAGGGGACCCCAGCGCCGGCATCATCCGTAGAGGCACGAGTGTTCGAAGAGAGAGTGGACCTGAGCAACAACATGACTTGGAGGCAAATGATCGGAGTGGGAGTCAGAAATGTGGTCCTTGCGCGAGGGGAGCTCGATAGACTCGAGGGGCCAGGATACGCCGCAAGGAGGACGGAGTTGCGCCGAGAGGCGAAAGAAGCCGCGAGAACAAGGGACCGGCAGGCGGCGGCGTCGCAGGACGAGGCAGAAGAGAACGACGCGACAGAGGGGGAAGTGACGAGGGAGAGAACGACGAGAGTGGGACAGCCGCGAGGTGGCATGAAGGTTGCAGCGAGAAGCGGCGAGAGACTGCGAAAAGAGATACGAGGAGGCAGACCCCCCAGGGTGGGCGACGGCTAGCGCATCACACCCTCCTCTCCTTAAAATCCCTGTGTGGTGGCGGCGTGCCGTTCTCCCATCCCTCCCTTGGGTTGTGTGTTTTCTTTCTTTCTTTCTTTTCCAGGCGGGGTGCCGTCCTCCCATCCCTACCTTGGGTTGTCCGTTTTCTTTCCTTGGCTTTCCGTTTTCTTTCTTTCTTTCTCTCGCCGCAGAGCGACGAGACAGACAGAGGATGAAGCGACAGGCAGGAGAGAGAACGACGAGAGTGGGACGACCGCGAGGTGGCATGAAGGTTGCTTGCAGCGAGAATCGGCGAGGGACTGCGAAGGGAGATAGGTAGGAAGAGAGAGAGGCAGACGCCCAAGGGTGGGCGACGGCTAGCACCACACTTCTCTCCTTAAAATCCCTGTGTGACCTGTGAGCTGTGTGGTGGCGGCGTGCCGTCCTCTCATCCCGCCTTGGGTCGTCTGTTTTCTGTCTTTCTTTCTTGGCAATAACAAGGAGATTTTTACACACGTGACACGACACAGGCACGGGACTGGCGCGCACTGCCACTGGGTGGCACTTAACGCAGGATAAAGAATCTCCGCCGCGCGCCAATCCCGCAAAGCGACCAGGCGAGGACGGCGTGCGAGGCGCTGCATAAAGTGAGTAGTGATGCCTCCCTTGAGTGTTGTTTTGCTTTCTTTCAGAGAGAGATTTTTGAAACCCAACAAGAGAAATCACGGCTCTCAGAAGTGATTTGGGCTCGGCAGCTTGTCAGCCCTCAGCCGAAGCTGGGGCCGGTCCCGTAGCCGAGAGAGCCCGCGTCGATGAATTCGACGCGGTCCGGGAGGCCTTGCGGAGAGACCAGCGAGTTGCGATCGCTCCTGTACTTCATGGGCGTCATCAAGTGGCTGCGGGCTGACTAGCCAGACCGCCGGTCGTGCTCTATTGCTCTGTGAACGACTGGGGCAGGGCGACTCAACGGAGGTGAAGGGGGACGAGGGAGGCAGACTCACTCAGCTGCTCTCCGGTAACCTCGGGTTGGTTGTCAGAACCCGTTGGGGTTTCTGAAATGCTTTTCTGCGTGAATCGTGCTGTGAATCGTGCTGTGCGACCGCGGATGGTAAAATTCTTTTCTGTGCGCGCCAAAGGAAGAAAGAAAGAAAACAGACAACCCAAGGGAGGGATGGGAGGACGGCACGCCGCCACCACACAGGGATTTTAAGGAGAGGTGTGTGGTGCGCTAGCCGTCGCCCACCCTAGGGAGTCTGCCTCTTCCTATCTCTCTTCGCAGTCTCTCTCCGATTCTCGCTGCAACCTTCATGCCACCTCGCGGTCGTCCCACTCTCGTCGTTCTCTCCCTTGTCATTTCCTTCTCTGTCGCGTCGTTCCCTTCTGCCTCGTCCTGTGAAGCCGCCGCCTGCCGGTCCCTTGTTCTCGCGGCTTCTTTCGCCTTTCGGCGCGCCAGTCCCGTGCCCGCTTTTGTAAAATTCTTTTCTGCCCGGATCCTCCGGCCTCGCCGGCTGGATGGATCTGTCGGGGCCAGCATCGACTGCAGGCTGCTGAGGTCTAGGTTATCGTTGCTCATGTCACGACGGATATTACTTCCATGGCGGACCTCCTCGTGGGCAATGCGGGGGCGCCCTTCGGCGTGGTGTTGCGTCTCGCCACAGGTACGCCGTCGCTCTCGGTAGTGCGCGGCGCCAATGCATCCGAGCTTGCCCTAGATGGCGCCCAGCTTGCGGACGACCGCCACATGATCCGCGTCTCGATCAGCGGCACTCTTTCGTTGCACCACGCTCATATTGCTGCTCACTCGCTTGATGTCTACAGTCTCCCAAACCTCGCTGACTATGACGACGGGGTCGCATACCTGCTATGGCGCTACTCGTTTGCCGGCCCTGGCCGCTTCCACTTGAACTTCACCGCCGACTTCTACAGCTGCAACCGCACGCTGCGGAGCGTGAAGCCAGATGCTAGGTTCGATGCCATCGGGCACTCACATCCGACCGACTTTGCTCTCGCGACCGAAGGCTCCAGCCGGCCAACCTTTTGCGAGAGCGTGCCGCACGGGGCCACGGCTGTGCGCGCGACGAGCTACGCTGTCATCCGTGGATCAAACTCCACGGCGAACCAGCGCTGCACGCGGCCTGTGGCCATCTCCGACCTATCCGACGGATGGTGGCAGTCGCACGACGGCAGAGCAGTGGCCCAGAGTGGTCAACTGCGTTGGCACCTGCGCCGATGCACACAGTGGCAGGATGTGCTCGATGTGGAGGTGCGGGAGGCGCTGGCCTGGTGGGCGCGAGTTGGCAAGAGGACGCTGTACTTGGTTGGCGACTCCAACTCGGGGAAGGTGAGTGCATCGTGGGAGCACGCTGGCGTGACGGTTCAGTGGGTTGACGTGCGGCCCATGGCCTTCGCCCTCCATTTGGCGCCCAACGAGAGCGATCACGATGGGAAAACTAGGCTGACACCCGCGGCGGCAACGGCAATGGGGTATGGATCTGCCAGCTGGGTGAGGCGGTACCGCGCATACGTGAGCGGGACGCTCAGGCGACTCGCGCGCGTGAAGGGATCCGCTTTCGCCATCGGGCCGAACGCCCACCTCACCGCCGAGGACGATGGGGTTGTTGGTGCTGCTGGCGGTGGTCCCAAAGGTGCATGGTCCAGCCTGCGCGGCGCCTGCGTGACTCAATGGTCACGAATGGACATGGCCACGGAATTGCTGAGTTTGTCCCAGTGGCCACAGCGGGAGGACCGCTCCTCGTGGCGTACCGCCGCCGCCAATGCCCTCGCGCGCGCCTCGGCGGGCGCCGCGTACGTCGACGTCTTTGAGCCCACCCTCGCGCTCCATCCGTGGCGAACCAACGTGGTGCACCTCGAATTGCCCTCGTTTGCCAAGGCGGTGTACCACGAGCTCGTGCCGAGCATGCTCCTCGTCGCGCTGCACCGGGCGTGTGGGGGTAGTGCCTAGTCGGTCCCCTAGACCAGTGGGGTACGGGTAGTGCTTAGTGGAGATTTTTTCATGTCATCTCTCGCTGTCACCTGCCACAAACATGGTAGCACATGCAATGACGTAACGCGTGCATGTGTATGTTGTCATGTGCATGTGACAAGTACAAGTCAAACCCCAGAATATCCGGCGTTTGCTTTTCGTTTTCTCTCCGCGCTTTTTTCCGCGTGGGTGCGTCAAGCGTGACACACCAGAAAGCCTGGCAAGAGAACGGCGGGGATCTCGCCCTAGTAAGCGGCCACCTCTCCGTGCGGGTTGTCGGTGAAGTCCCACGGCTTGAGGTTGACCCGCAGGAAGGTGCGGAGCCGGTCGAGCACGTCCGCCTGCGCCTGTGGCCGTGTCTTGGACGCGTCCGAGGATGCGCCGTGGGCGCTGGGGACAAGAGCGGTGTATGCGGTCGTGAGTTTGGGCCGGAAGGGTAAGTGTGGCCGGCAAGGGCCGGCAGGGCTAGTGTGGCAAGGGCCGGCAGGGGCAGTGTGGCGGGCAAGGGCCGGCAGGGGCATTGTCGCGGTGTGGAGAGGGCATGGTCCGGCCAGCCCGGCGCCTCGGCGCCCGCCATGCCGTGCCCCTCACGAGAGTCGCTTACCACTACTACTACTGGAAGGCGCCTCGGTGCCCGCGATGCCGTGTCCCTCCCCGGGGTACGCGTGGTACTCGACGGCGGCGCCTCCGTGAGTGGACCGCCTGAGCGCCTCCACGAAGGGCGGAACCTGCTGGAAGGGCACGTCGATGTCCTTGTCGCCGTGCAGGACCAGGATCGGAGCGCGCAGCTCGGCCGCCCTCGTGATCGGCGAGGCCTCGCGCGCTCGGGCGGCGACCTCCTTCTCGTACACCCAGCCCCCCATCAGCGCGTAATCGTAGTAGCGAACCTCGGTGTGGCGCTGCTGCACGTACCAGTCAGCGATGCCCGCCATCGAGACGCCGCAGCTGAAGACGCTCTCGCCGCCGACGTGCTGCAGCAAGCACATCGACGCCAGGTAGCCGCCCCACGAGTGCCCCGCCACAGCCACGCCTCGCGACGTGTCCAGCCTCGGCTCGACCTTACGCGCCTCGGTCTTGAGGTACTCCGCGCAAGCGAGGCAGTCGGAGAGGTCGGCGACGCCGCAGCCGTCCGCCATCACGCGGTTCATGAAGCCGAGGCCGTTGCCAGTCGAGCCCGAATAGTTGGGCGCCAGCACAAGGTAGCCGCAGGACGCGAGCCAGGAGAGCAGCGGGTTGTAGTCGAACGAGAGCTGGCACATCGGCCCGCCGTGCAGCCAGAGCAGCGGCTGCAGCGGGCCGTCGCCCTCCGGCGCAAAGCGGAGTGCGTGGATGGGCAGCGCCTTGCCGCCGCAGTGAGGGGCCGCCTCGTTGCGGACCATCACCTCGGTCGGCGTGAGCAGCTTGCGCTGCAGCGACAGCGGCATCGTCTTGGTCAGCCGCGCCTCCCGCCCAGAGGCGCCGCCCCGCCAGCTGCAAAAGCGGTTGGGCTTCGACTGGCTCGCCAGCCAGAGGTCTCCCCGCGCCGTGGGGCTCCGGTGGTGGTAGACGACTAGAACCTCCCCCTGCCCCCTGTCTCCGCCAGTCTCCCCATACGCCACAGGAATCTTGCAGCCCTTGCCCGGACCACCCTCGTGCGTCGCGGTGCGGAGCGGCAAAAGCTCGAGCGAACCGTCGCCCTCGGCGGCCGCCGACAGCTCGTAGAGGTCGTCCGAGTAGCTGATCGGTACGCCGTCCGCTTGCTGCTCCGTTCCGGTGGTGCGCGCGGAGAGAAAAACCCTGCATCGGCTCGGGTCCAGCCGGAAGCCCTCCGCAGCACCCGGGCGGCCATACGAACCGCTGAAGACGTCGATGCGATTCGGCGGCCCCATATGCACGGGGCTGAGCCGCGGCGCCTTGAGATCCTCGATGAGCCAGAGGCCGTGCACTGCCTCCTTGACCGCGTCCTTGGGCAACGTCTTGAGACGCTCCGCGTCGCACAAGTGCCCACCGTTGAGGAGCGGCAGCGCGTTGAGCCGAAGGAGCAGGCTGGGTCCTGGGGGGCCGTCCAGCGCGTCGGGGGCGAGGAAGCCGACCTGCGGAGTGCAATACTCCTGCCGGCAGTCGACGGCGACAACCTTGGAGCCGGACCGGTCGTCTAGACCGCGATCTCTGTGGTCCATGAGGACAATCTCTGCCAGCATCGCGTCGGGCAGCCGGTGCACGACAGCAATGTGCGCGGCGTCATCCTCATCCTGCGAGTGATCCCAATTTAGGAGCGCGCCACCGTGCGCGGCGACGAAGAGAGGGCCTCCCCGCTCGGACTTGATTTGGCCGCGCTTGTGCATGAAGAGCCGGTCCCGCTTTGGCTCGCCGCCGCTGACGGCAAACAGGACGGACTCCTCGCGCACCCAAGTCGGCCTCCCGGCGAAGCTCTCTCCGGCTCTCAGAGTCACCCAGGAGCGGGTGGACAGGTCAGCAGTGTCGCCGAGGAGAAGGGCGTCCTTGGTCTGCACTGCGAAGGACACGCCTGACGGGCTGAAGACCGCCTCGGAGAGGCCGGCCACGCCGCTCAACAAGACCTCCGGAAAGCCACCCTCGCGCATCATCACGAGGTCCTTGCCGGAGTCGCCCGAGCCCTTCTCGAGTCGGCCGCGCGTCTGCACCCACGATATGATGAGGCCGCTCTCAAGCCGACCGTTGTCGCTGCTCGGCCGAACGAACGCCGCGGAGAAGCCGGACGCGTCCATGTGACGCCTCACCTCGGCAACAGTGAGCTCCGACATGCTTTCCCGAACGGCGGCGGCGGCGGCGGCGGCGGCAGAGGCGGAGGCGGAGGCGGAGCGGAGCGGGCAAGGCGTCGAAGGCAAGTGCGTCTGTTCACAGCCTTGTTATTGAGAAGAAAATACCTCCTATGGCGCTGTGCGCTGGCCTGTGAGAGGTTGAGGTGCGAGCCCTGGAGGCCCTGGGGATGGGGGGGGACTACCCGCGGGCTTAGAAGGCCCGCGCGCAGGGGGGTGGGGCATTGAGACCGGTCATGAATGAGTGCGCGACACGCATGTTGCGAGCAGCGTTGTTGATGTTTTGCGCATCGCCACTGACGGCGGCGCGCGAGAGCTGTTGCGAGTGGTGTTGGGCGAAGCCCCGGGCGCTGCCGGAGGCTGTGCCGTAGTCGGTGCGGCGTCGACGGCGCTTTTCACAGCTCACGAGAGTAGGAAAAAAATGCAACAAAACTCCCTCGCACGACACTGATGCACGCCCTGTGAGCGGGGCGGGGTGCGCACTGTGCCTCTGTGTTCGTGCGTCGCCCATCTCTCCTGATGCTGATGACCTCTATTTATTTATTGGGCACGGGACTGGCGCGCAGAGTTGTTTGGTATTGCTAAAATCTGGCACTAACACAGAGAGAGTTAATAAAAATCTCTCTCTAACACAGCTCACAGGTACACCACGATTTTTAGAACCATCGCACAACACTGGGCACGGGACTGCGCGCAAAAGAATTTTTCAACCTTGTTCTTTCCACTTTCCTTTCGCTTTCCCTGTCGTGTGGGTGAACCCTGCCCAGCCCCCTCTCCGTGTCGCGATGCGCTGCGCTCCCCACTCCCGTTCCCCTGTGTCATCCCTGATCGTCCTTCCAAAAAATCCTGCTCGTGACTCGTGTGCAGGTGGGGACCCTAAATAAATAAATAAATAAAACGGACACCTCTCTAGTGTGAGATGGGTAAAAAGGAACAGGTCCCCGCCCTTGCGATCTTTGTGCACATGTTGTGGGGACCCTGTCCTCCTCCCATCTCCCCTTTTTTTTGCGTTGACTGTTTTCTTTCTTTCTTTCTGTGTGTGTCCGGGCCCATGGTTGTCTTTTATGTGTTGATATGAATATGACCGGCGTTTCTTTCACATAACATCGAAGGCTGGCTCACAAAAAAACTTCCTTTCACAAGAAGCACCCCCACATCGACACACGCGTCGCCCAGGACTGGATCGGAGCGCGCGCGCGGTCCATCTCAAGGCAGGGCAAGCACGCCAGCGTCCGGGCGGGGAGGCGGGCGGGGGCGGGGGCGGGGGGATCGGGTGAAGCGGGTGTATCGAGCGCGCGCAGTGTGCAGTGCAGCGACTCCTCTGCCAGCCAGGCGAAGCGGCCCGGGAAGGCGCCGTCAACGCTCTCCCGGAAGGCGCGCAGCTGCCGCAGGACAGAGGCCCATTGGTCGCCGCCAGAGGTGGCGAGGAAGGTGACGAGGGTGGCGCCGGCGGGGGAGGCGTGGCGGTAGGAGCTGATTCGGGAGCCCACCTAGGGAAGAGGGTCACAAGTGGCGCCAGTTCTCAATTCGTGGCTAGCGGGGCGCGCCACATGCTTGTGTGCGTGTGCCCCGTCTTCCCTGCTAGGACGTGCGCCACACTGTCGAAACACCGCTCTCTCCTCGTGTGACTGGCTTTTGACCTTGTTGGCGAGGGGAAGGTACGCGGCCGTGTCGTCCCACTCTGACAGCACAGAGCGGACCTGGTCACACCTTGCTGCTGTGAAGAGACGGCTTCACACCGAAGCGCCTCGCCGTCCGGTCAGCACCCGGCCAACTAGGTGGTATCTCGAGTACACCTCGGCCGCTCCAGTACATCTCGGCCGTATCTCGAGCAAGTCTCGGTACATTTCGGGCTCGTCTAAGCCGCACACCCGCTCGCGCTCCTCCTCGCCCACGGAACTGCCGGAGCTGCCGCCATTTGCGCCTCCGCCTCCAGGAAGAGGGATTGCGGCTCGTTGCGGCGCGCCCTCTGCCTCGAGGCTGCGCCATTTGTACTCGACAACCTCGACACCCTTCACCGGCACCGGCTCTGACGGCAGGCCCGCGCTGTGTGCCACGCACAGCGTTCTGAGCCGCTCAAGCTCGGGAAGAGCGAGCTCGGGCGCCGTGTCAGACGTGGCCGCGAGCGTCGTCTTGGGCCACCGGCTTCCAAAGTTCTCTCTCCCGTAGCGCGGCGCGAGGCGGCCTTTGATGCCCGCCAGCGAGTCTGGAAAGCCTTCATAGACGAGGACGAGCACGCCGTTCCACGCGAGGAAGAGCTGGAGCGGCCTCAGCTGGCACGGGCGCGCATCGCCGCAGGCTGCTCGGATGCCGTCTAGCATGCACGCAGTTGTGCTAGCGATAATAAGCGGCACGGGGGATCCAGCGGTTTGGCACACGAGGGTTCCGGCTCCTAGGGGTCTGCCCACCCTGACAAACGCCCTACCTATCTACCTACCATTGCGGGCGCCAATCGCCAGGCTCCGTGCCCCACCTACCTACCTATTCCCAGGCCGCGCAGCGAAGCGAAAAAAGACGAAAATAGTGAATACCTACCTGTTGCAGGTAGGGCCCTCTGGGGCGGTCAAAACCGGACCTACCTACCTACTGCATAGGATGTCACCGTGGTGAACAGACCCTCTATCTGGGTAGGAGCCGGAACCCAGCAATCTCGAGCGAGGTCTCTTGGAGCGAGTCCCGGCGAGACCTCGAAAGAGCTACCCAATGGGTCGTCCCTGAGAGGGATACCCTGGGGTGGGCGGGCCCTCTACTCGCCCAGAGTCGGGCGTGCGCGTGGTTTTTGGAAACCGGGAAAAAGAACAAGGTGTGTCACCTGTTCGAAACACGAACGGCATCTGCAGCGTGTGCAGAGCTCCGGCGTCTGCGAGAGTGCAGTCTTTCTTTCCGTCGCGTGTATCATCACGAGACACCTAAAACTCTCTCTCTCTCTCACTCTCTCTCTCTCTCTCTCTCTCTCTCTCTCTCTCTCTCTCTCTCTCTCTCTCTCTCTCTCTCTCTCTCTCTCTCTCGCGACGCGCCCCTGCCGCGTAAACGCGCATGGTTATCGTGAACGCAGAAGGCAGAACGGCTGGGCAGTGGGCACAACGGACATAGCATGTGTTCCTCCCTACAAATGTAAGACGATCGGAGCAAGCCCTGAGCGCTGAGGGAGGGTGTAGAGAGAGGATGTAGAGTGTAGAGCGCTGTAGAGAGAGCTGTAGAGATGTAGAGCGCTCT